CTGTGTAGCCCAGGCTGGCCTCAAACTTGTGGTGATCCTCCTGCTTCAGCTTCCTGAGTGCTGGGATTACAGGTGTGAGCCACCATCCTGGCTTAAATTTACTTTTTAGCTCATGGAGGTTTTTATTTTTTGGGTTGTGTCTTCAGATTTTCAATTTGAACAACAGTGGCAGTTTGTTTCTTTGGTCTCACTCTTTCTGCCTCTTATTTATTTTTCTTGCTTTATTACACTGGCTAGGACCTCTAGTACGACAGCAGAAATGGTAATAGTTGATCGTCTTTTGAAATTTATTAAGCCTCATTTTATGGACTAGAATTACATTAGGTTAAATTTTCTTACTACACTTTGCAGTTGTTGGATGCAGCATTCAGCAAATATGAATTAGCTGACGGAGTTGCTCACATTGTCCATACCATTTTGTCTCTGTGTACAACCAGTTCCTAGAGGAGGGTTAAAAACCTCTGACTTTGCTTTTCCTTCCTTCAGTCTGCTCCATTTTGTCCTGCACACTTCTATCTTAAGTGTCTGTGCTTTTACAAGTAAGCTGTTCTGACGAACTGACCTGCGCGCTCGCTCTGAGATGTCCAGGATCGACGGAGTTTGTGCATCTTTTGCCTGGGCCTCTGAGGCCCCGTCTCCCTTCCCCATCCTGGTGCTTCCTGTTCTGTCCTTTGATGCTTTATGTTAATGGAGGCCTTGATTCAGGGAAACACAGGTCACCACCACCCGCAGAGAGCAGAATTCCCCTAGGGAGGAAGATGAATACCAACCCAATAGTGATAAACGAGGCTTTCTTTGTTCCTAACTCAGAGTTTTTCTACTTTGCCACGATGCTAACAGATATAATAATCACTGACCTCTTCCAGAGCTTGCTTTTAAGTAGACTCACTGGCTAATCTGAAAACCCTTTTTGTGATTCTGGGTGTGAAAACGATGACTGTTTTCTTTTAGCAGAAAGAAGAAATCAGGACCAGTTAAAACACATACGCACTGGAGTGATACATTCACCTCATCTGTTGTTTGTGTTTTAGTTTTTGAAGCCGTGTGATCCAGATCATCAACTGATTACAAAATTCTCCTGTGTAGTAAATATTAGAATTTTGTACTTGGGAGGCTGAGGCAGGGGGATCACAAGTTTAAGGCCAGTCTGGGACACATAATGAGACTCTGTCTGAAAAAAACAAGGCGTAAGGATGTCATTCAGTGCCCTCAGTTCTCAATAAAACCCATGCGCATGCACGCACACACGCACACACACACGCACGAAGGCACGCACACAAGCGCTGTATTTGGGAGGTACCGTACAGGTCTCTTTATCACTGCCTCCAGTTTGATAATCTCATTTTAGGGTGAAATTACCTAGCTTCTGTCCCCAAATTTCTAGTAAAAGAAAATAAACCATTCTCATCACAGTTAGAATCTGGATTTGGATCAAATCGTTGATTCAAATTCTGTTTCCAGAAGCTACAGAAGAGTCAGGTTTCTCTTCGACGGGAAATCTGTCATTAGTGCAGCGCCTGCCTGGCAAGCGTAAGGCCCCGAGTTCCATACCTGTTACAAAGAGACAGAGAGAAATCTCTTCAGATACAGAAAGGTGCAAAGCCAGCCGGCGCGTCTCCGCCTCCCGGTGGCCTGGGCCGGAAGCGCGCAGCAGCGTCACCGTCCCTTCCCCAGACCTTCTTCGCAAGAAGCTTCAGGGTCCAAAGTGGCTGCTGCCGTCGCCTCTGCCTCCCTGTCCTTCCACCTGTGGTTAGAGCTTTTGAATGTGTCGGAGTCCAAGTATGTTGTCTGCACTAGCACAGTGTCCTTAAAGATAGGAACTACTTGCATGTGTCATCGATAAGGAATTGGCACATGGACACACCAGTTCGTTGAGGGCCCACAACAAATCCTCCCCAACCGTCTTCCTGGCTCCCGGGTTTCTCTGTGCCACCACCCTGGGCCTCCTTTCCCTCTGCCCCATCGTCCCTCGGCCGAGCTTAGCTTTAGCTTTGCCATGTGTTTCCTTGCAATCTTCCTTTTCAGTTGAGTTGTGAACTCCCAAAGGGAGCTTCACACATGGTATAAAGTTTTGTGTGTCCTTTAGTACGGAGTACAATGCTGTGGTTTATAGTAGGCCTCCCCATAGTGGTTAGGAGAATGAAAGTTCCAATACTATACGTAAATAAGCTTTCCCAGGGCCTGGAATAACTAGATATGTGGATGTAACAATTTTAAGTTTGTAGTTTTTTTGTTTTTTGTTTTTGTTTTTTTTTGGTAAATCAGTAACGCGTGACTAGAATACTTTCCAAGATTTGGCTTTGTGGGGGCTGTGTGTGGTGGTGGTGGGGCTTTAGAATAAATATTTTGAGGAATTTTGATAAAACGGGCTGGGAGTTCTGTGTGTCCATAAGTGCTGGTCAACATCTCCTCGGGGTCGTGGCTCCTCATTAACCTTAGCTGTCCACGTAAGATGAAATAAAACAAGCATTCGAGCAAGAGGAAGGACAAATTAGCATTAATGAGGTCATTTAAAGTTGATGACTGTAAAATGGAGACAATGCTTTTAGAGTGCTTAAATGATACACGATAATCTTTCCCCATATTTGTTTTATACTTTCTCAACTCAAGCTGATGACCACTTCTGATGTGATTTGTTGAATGAAAAAAATCAGTTATGTGTTTTGTGGAGACTTTTGGGCAAAGTTTCAACAAATTAGGCTTTGACATCTTGGTAAATGTTAAATTATCTCACAGGGCTTTTATAGGAATTGGGATTTTTCTTGCCCCTACTTTTCTGTCCAAATCGAGAACTTGGCAGAAGAGCTTGGGAACACAACGATTCTACTTCTCCTAATCTGCTATTGCTCATCTTAATTTAAAGCAAACAACAACAGAAAAAGGAGAATTTAAAGAAAGGCTATGCTCACAGCTTTTTCCACCCTGTAACTACTCAGTTTCCGAAAAAAGTTGCCCAGACTCGTATAGCCGAGACTTCTTTTTCTAGTTAGCTGGCGAGAGCTTGGGCGAAGCTCATTTCCAGTGTCCGGTGTGGCGCGCAGCTCTGGAACCCAGGACACAGGAGCCTCAGGCCTCCTCGTGTGGCTCCTCTGTGTTCAGCCAGTGTCCGACCCGTGTCCTGATCTTAAAGCGCACGCCCTGAAGACACGCAGGGTGTCTCCCCACCTGGTCTCCTTGCCTTGTTCAGGGAAGGAACGTGGAGCAGGACGCTTCATTTCGGTTGGGAGAGGGGTTCTGTGGCTGTAGTTGACAGCGCCTGTGAGAACAGCGGATTTGTTGCCCCTTTGATGTGTTTACTAGCGCGGAGTCTGGCTGCTCTGTCTTTTCAAATGTCCTGCGTCCAGTGTGCGGCCTACATAGGGCACCGCTGACCTCCGCGTCCTCTCTCTGAAGGGTCAGGGTCCTAGCCCCCCCCTTCATCCTGTGCAGTGTTTTATCAAAACTTGGGTACCATTCAGCTCGCCTCCTCTGTATTCTAACAGGTAGTTGGTTTGCTGATCTGTAATGAACTAATTCAGGTTAAATCACTGGATAGATAATAATCGCTTAGTATGTTGCCTTTGCTTTGGTACCAGGGATCAAACTCAGAACCTTGTACTTGCAAAGCAGGCAGTGGAACCACTGAGCTAAATCCCTGGCCCGTTGTGTGGCCTATTGTTTTAGAATTTCTTTATGAATCATGCTTAAAGGAAATACAATTTGTTTATTCCTGGGCAATCTGCAGTCTGTTTAGGAGAGGAGAGAGAAGACTTGGGCCGGCAATTTAGCTCAGTGGTGCCGCTGCCTGCCTCACAAGCGCAAGGTCCCAAGTTCAATCCCTGGTACAAAAAAAAAAAGAATATACCAACTTAACGCGTGCAGTGTAAGCAAAGCAGACAAGAGGCAGCTCTGTGCTATAACAAATATGAAAACCCAGGGCAGAAGATTAATTCCATGGGAAAATATCTGAACAGAGCCAAGACGTAGAGAACTCGTGTATACTTAGAAACAAGAAAAGATTTTTAAAATCGTGGGAAAGTCAGCGTCAGAAGTGGGAGTGGTCCTGTCCTGTTTGATCTTCTTGCTCATGTGGCTCAGGGATTTTCACAGACCAGCCCCACTCGGTGCACGTTGTCAGGGAGCAGTGTGGATGCAGAAACCCTCTTATTTCATAAAGCCAGAAGGATCTGGACAACCAAGTTTTCAGGGAAACTGTAGGTCAACTCTGATGACTAATATAGATTCAGAGTTTAGCTATAAGGATGACATTGCACCGATCCAGGGAGGGTGAAGGGGCTGGGGCTCTGGCCAGGGTCTGTCTGGATTCTGTGGCGATGGGTGGGCTGGGACCAGGGACGAGGCGTGCAGAGTCGCAGACCCCCACGTCCGGCCTTGTGGACTTCCGTTGTAGAGTTCGGAGCCTTGGCCGCCGTGTCACTGTCTCGGTCCTCCCGGATGGGGCTATGTGGGCACCATCGGGGCTGCCTGCGAGCAGCTCAGGCCCACAGGACACGCTAGGCCATCCTGGCGACTCCTCTCCCCGACCCCGCGGCGAGGCCGCCCCGGAATTCATCCCCAGAGGAGTAGGGAACAGCCGCCTCCCCGGCAGCTCTGCCCTCGGAGTTGCTGCTCTCCGCAGTGTGTGGCCCAGGCCCCCATCCAAGGTGCTCCGGCGAGTCTGCGGGACTCTGGTGTGAGCTGTCACTGTCCTCGGATGTTTCCATCTTTATGCCCCGCAGTCAAAGTCGCTCAAATTTGCAATTAGATGACTTCAGTCGTTTTGCCTTCGTGTTTTGCTATCACAGACCCATCCGCGGTAGCGGACATCACCAGCCTTAGAGAGCCTGGAACATCTTGACACATCACTCGCGTACCTCAAAAGAGGGCTTGCGCTCATCAGAGAGCTGGGAGAAGCAGTCCCGAAGGGCCCCTGTGATTCAGCCAGGCACTCGATAATTAGGTCTAAATGGCCAGAAACTTTTTTTGCAGGAGACAAGACCATTCTGTGCAGAAGAGGCCTCGCCCGAGAGCCGAGACGCTGTCACTGCCATGAAAGAAATCGGCGCACAGAAGCAGGGTTCACTTCGGAACTGCGCGGATAGGTGGACGCTAAACATGTCAGGATAATTACACCGGGAGGCCGAGACGAGAAACACCAGCGTCTCCGTGGGTTGAGTCAGAAAGCTAAAGGAAAGGTTCAGGGCTCGGTCTGCTGTCCTTGATGCTGGGCCCTGAAGCCAGGCCCTGCACACTGGGCTACATCACTACATTTCTCCTCCTCCTCCTCCTCCTCCTCCTCC